GAATTTGAGAAGTGGTAAGCAAGCTGGTCTTTGTACCTTTTTCCATTTCTGTGAAAAGAGAAGCTCCTTTGCCATCCCCATTAAGACTTCTCCATTTTTGGCCAAGTTAAAAATATATGCTCACGTGCTCAATATAACCTCTTACAAAAGCCCATCTCCCAGATTTGTGGCAGGCAAGCTGCTCCAGCCGGAATGGCCGGCTCATAAAAAGTTTCCCTGCAGTTGCAGTTCTGGGCTCAGACCACATAGCCCAGCCAAAAAACAGCACTCAAGGTGGTGTGAGAAAGGAGACTATAGTTGTTGAAATCTGAACCAGTGACACCGGATAGAAGTCTGCAGGCAAAGTAAAACTGGATAAAATGCCCAGAGATGAGAGCAAATAAAGGCAATTCCAATCTAACCTGCAATTACTAGGTCTGGGGGTTGATCTACCCTGTCTAGACTAGTACTAAAACATTATTTGTATTTTTATCCGATACATATACTAAGCTTGATCCCTATGGCAGGTACTATAAGGAATGTCAGAGGAAGCATTGCATGGTCTAGTAACTAAAATCGTCTCCCACACCACTCGCTCATTGGCATTGACTGACATGCAGGTAGGCAGCACACCCATTTAATCAGTGGTGTGCCAGCAATCAAGAGTAGTCATCTCATCCTACCCTTAAATATAGGAATATTCTGTGGCAAATATTGACTAAACAAAAAGCAAACTGGGCCTAACTAAGGCACTCATTTGTGTTACTAAGTAAAATTCAACTTATTTAAAATAAGTCTTTCTCTGATCATCCTTGTTAATGATCCTTTCCTGCTGCCCATCCCGAGTTGTTCAATTAAAATAGTATTAAGAAAACAGAAGGTTGCAAATTGCTAGAAACTGAATGCACTTGGAGACACAGGAGCATCTATCCATGTACTGATTCATCTGATACTGCTTCTGGCATACAAGCAAATCATGGAAGAGGTGCATACTGGACTCGAGAACAACTTTCTGATGTCAACAGGCAAGACCAGGCCTCAACTTGCCCTTTAAGGTAGCAGCCAGGATCGAGCTAATACATAATTTATGTAGTCCCCCTCCTCCTCCACACACACTTAATTCCAGCCCTATATACTTCTAAGTCCGCATCTTTTTTGTGCTGTATATTCTGTAAGGTGCTGCACAAAATGAGCGTATCAGTGCCAAAAGGCAATAGGGAGGTGGCCACTAGATTTTATGCAACATAAGAAAGCAAACATTTATTTAGAATCTGCATGGTAGCAAAAAAAAAAAGCCGGGAGGGGGAGGCATAAATTAGCAGGCGCTAATAAGAAACATACAGAATTCCTCTCTCCCTGGCAGAAACTGCCCTACCTTAAGAACCCCTCAAACGTAGTGTGACTTGACAATAGAATTGCCCTGATGAAGTATTAGCCACGTTGCACCTAAAGGCATAAATAAAACAGTTTATATCTCACCATCACAAAACACACTTTTACAAACGAAACAGTGCCAGTCCAAAGTGAAAGCATTTGGGGTTCTGTCTCATAATAGGAAAAACTAAAATATCTTTTTGAATTTACAACTATTTGCCAAACAGCAGAGCTAGGCAGGAACATACAGCTACACATACACACAGTGCAAGTTACATAGTCTATCAAACAAACTGTAAATAGCTTTTTATTATCTATTGCTATTGGAGCTCAAATGAAATGGCATTTTAATTTTAGATTTGTTTTACATTTAAGAGTAGTTTTTTTCATGGTACCAAATTGCTCTGGAATAAAATTGTTTCTCCAAAGACCATCTTACAAGTTCAGTTCCAGTTTAGACAGCTGTATTTAATTTAAATGAAACATGAGCAAACCTGCAATCTATATAAAAGACTTCTATAGATTCTAAAACCTGTGCAATAAATCAAGGTTCCACATAAGAAAAGTGTAAGAGATCTTCCTGCTGGTAGCCCACCACTTTCTTAAACTGCTCTTCAAAGTGCATAGAGCTGATTAAAGGGCAAGAGGATGTCTGCTGAGTAATCGCCTCAAATGTTATTTTAGCATTATTTAATCGCTTCCTGTTATTTTCTAGGTTGGTTTAACAAAAGCACCTAGGAGATAATGGTGAAATGTATGAGAAAGGCTTTGCCATTTTTGTCCTCAAAATACTTTCTGGCGAACAACTGTGTTATACAGTAAGCTTTATGATCTTGAACAATAGCTTTTTTTTTTCTCTTTAATCTACAGCATCACCTTTTATTCTTTTGTGCCTTTCATTTCTCCAACATACATTAAATGTCACGTTTAACAGAAGTAATAACGTCCTCCTACTCAGCATGGCCCATTCCTCACTGGCATTGCTACAGTGGCTAACTGCTGTTTTTCTTAGGGTGTGTTTTACGTAAAAACTGAGATACCTGGCTGCTAATTATGTCCGAGAATTTGAGACTATGAATTGATTCACCAGAGGTCGACACTGGTACGGTTCAGCACACTTAGTTGTAGGTATATGAAAAATCATATTGTCTTCGATGAGCTTCTTACACGCCCCGATGGAACAAGCTCAACATAACACACTGTGAGCTCTCAGTTTTCGTGATTCTGATAGCCATCTGCTGATGGCTCATCACCATACGTTACTGATTCTCCAAGTGTTTCTGAGCTTCTAGTTTCTAATACAATCACATCCACCCCACTGGTCAGGTATAGTAGGGAAATTGCATCTAGAGGAACTCGCAGATACAAGCAGTCATGAAAACATGCTGTTGACGTGCTGTCAGCAAAAGCGATCTACCCTGTTGCAGTTTTGAAATCGGTATGTTAGCTAGACCTCTGCTGGTGAGAAAGAAGGTAACAGGAACAAGTTCCTAAGAGAGGGAACTATCTTGTATTTGAAACTGCAATGCATACAAATTTATCCCAAATTATGAAGTATTAACTCTACTGTTGGTCCATATCAATCCGTTATCACTCCACAAAAGCTACAGCTTCATAGTTTTCACGACTGGAACCACAGTGACTTACAAGAATAAAAAATCCTGACCACAGATGTAACATGTAACAATTACCTCTGCTACAAATAAAACACCTTTCTTCTGCAAGTTGTATCAGGAGCACAGGCAAAAGTGGAGAGAAGCTGGAAGCAGTTCACAGATCTCCTCATTATACCTACAGATTCATTTAATAGCCGAAAAAAGTCTACACCACAGCTCTCCGGGTAAGCCTTGTATGTGATGTGAAATCACATCCTGTGCAACCTCAGTAAAAAGGTGTTTGGGTCATGTTCATTTTTTTTAAATCGTAAATACCATTTTATTGGTCCACACAACAGATCATGTGTTTACTGGGAAAAAAAAGACACCACACTGAAGTTTTACTCAATACTTCGGCTTCAACATAAGCATCAAGAATGATTGATTGGTGTTTTTTTTTATTTTCTCACCAAGGAGTGCACTGTTACATAATTCCATAAACTCATACCATTTCTAGGGCAGTCTAAAGGCCAGAAAAGGCTTGGGTTTTATACTCCCTCATCTGGTTTTTCACTCTGTTTTAAATGGTTCAAGCAACAGGTTTTCCAGTTTCCCTAAGGCAAAAGCAGTAGACTAAGAATACAATCATACTCAAGCTGTGAGCTTAGAGAACTGCTTCTGGCCCTGCACATGAAGCAGCTCTGCCTAAGCTGCAGCCCCACTTTGGTCTTGTGGATTTCCAAAGGCTATCATCTGGACCGGTGACACTGTAAGTACTGGAAACTGCTTCTCTTCTTCCTCTTCCTGCCCCTTTATCTTTACTACTTTCTCCTCACTCTGTCCCACTGCTTTATAGTCTCATGTTTCCCCTGATAGAAAAAATACATACATTAGCAAGTGCTAATAAACTATTAAGCGTGAAGTTCCTAATCCCCAGAAGTTCTATTAATATCATAATTAATTATGATAATGGTATCATAAAGAAGAATAGGATGATCAAGATAGTAGCAGTGGGATGAGAATCAGTAATAAAATAAAGTAAGGTCACACGCTTAGGGACCACTAGTAAGAATTTCACCTAATAGGTGGAAACTCAACCATTGCTGTTGGAAACAACAAAGGAGAAAGACCCAGGAGGCTTCTTCAGTGGCAGGATGATTATGATTACCAGCGCACTGCAACGATCAAAAAAGGTAAATACAGTTTTAGGAGCTGGCGCGAGACACTTCCATTGCAACGAGGCACGCGTTCATCCTGAGGTAGAAGCAACAAGGATTCTTATGCATCCACTTAAAACGGAATCGGGAACAGGTGCAGCAAAAAGTCCCTAACGGGACGCAGGGAATAAAGTTATGCCGTTTGTTATGCAGGAGGCCGGCCGCCCCGGCCGCCCTGCCGTGTCCTGCCCGGCCCTACCGACGACGACCCGGGGGGGCACCCGGCCACCGCACCTCAGGGAGAAGACGAGGGCGGGCAGCAGGTCAGCACCGGGGCGGACGTACAAAGGACCCTTCCGTGCCGCTTGCTCACGACCGAGCAGTGCCGGCCTACCGGGGGAACGAGCCCTGGGGTACCGGGGGAGGATGTCTGTGTGGGGGCGTAGGGTGTGGTGCCGCCCAACCCCTCAGAAACCCCTTCTCTCTGCCGCCACCCGGCCTTTTATTACCGCGGCTGCTCCTCCCACCGCTTCTGCGGGCCTCGGCTTCCTCCCCCCAGCCCCAGCCGAGCGCGCTCCTTCCCTTGTCTCCACACCGCCACCGCTGCCTTCCTGTCACTGCTTCCCGCCCGCCGCCGCCGCCGCGCGCAACGGTCCGCCGGCTCCACCCCTCCCCCCCTCTGCGACCGTTGGGAGTTTTGAACGGAACGGGCCGAGGCGCGCGCGCGC